ATATATATATATATATTCCATAAATATATATATTTCATAAATTTCACATCTTTGATTCAAATCATCGTTATATTCACGCGACTTTTTACCGCCTAACAATTACGATACATCCCGCGTACCTCTGTTTTTTCATTAAATCAACCTGTTAAATAAATAGCGGATTTATACGATGCAGACTTACGATACGATAAGTTTTAATTCTAAATTCGTTATAATTAACGGATAATTTTCCCTCATATAGATATCTGTGTACATGTATCGTAGCGCGTAGCCTAAAATATCGTTACAATTAGAAACAACAAGGACAATGTTACCTCGTAACATTTTTGATTGTCTTCCTCAAAGAGGTTCGCCCGACCGGACTGCTCGTGATACGAAGATAATAGAAGAATCGATCTACATACAGTAGAATCCGGCTAACAATATAGAAAAGCGGAAAACTTTTAAAAAATAAAAGTACACCACGCGCGAAACTGTTCAACAACGGCCATATACTTGCGCGAATGTAGTTGCGCAAATATAGTACGGCTGCGCGCGCCCCGTCACGTGATCTGTCATAATTACACCACACATATAAATGAATAAAGAAGAGAAACAATCTCTCTTTCTCTCTCTAGATATAAATATGCGCGAGATAACTCTTCCAAGTTGAAAACACTCTCTCACTAAAAAAAATAGACTCAATTATGTATTTTCTATAAAAGACAGTTATGAATCCAATTTGCGTAGATAAAAAAAGAAAATAATTCATAATTTTCTCCTTCTCTTGAGATAAATATACATAATCAATATTGAATCTACCTTTATATATATGATTATGACACGATATTAGTATTGATGAAAATATATATATGTAAAGAATAGAATAACCAAAGTTGTCCGGATCCTATTGTAATGAGATACTGGGACATTCTCGTGCCTTCGGCAGGAAAATATCACGGTTTTTGCCACGGTACGGGCATCCCCTCTTCCCAAAAAAAAAAAAAAGTTTATATACGGAGTACTTTCAGTCAAAAATATATCAGATCACTCGCGCGTTCGTGCAAATTTGTCGAATTTTTTTTTTTTCTAGGCCAAAGAGATTTCACCCTCTCGGTTGTATATGTACCTCTTGCGTTATTCTGACTGGAATCTCCTGAGATCTGACTTAATAGTCAAAGATCAATCTAAACGGAGCATCTTGGAACGCGATTAGACTTAGTTTATATGTAGTTGATTAAATAACCATGACTTATGCATATAACAACAATATTAAATGTTAGCACTTAGGAAGGTTGTATATTCTTTTTCTCTTATTTAGAATTATATATATATATATATATGTATATATATACATATACTTCTCACGCGCCTATCTATCGCGGTCTTAATGCTTGTTAAGATCATACGAATATGTAACCGACTGTATCACGTCAGCGACTGTCTTAGATTCCGGAATTTCTCAGACTGCTTAATACTGTGTGCAAATAATGCGAAATTCATATTCATCATGTATATTGAAGTTGACATTGTCTCTTTTTCTTTCATATTACTATAAGCAGACGTTTTATCGTAAAGAGATCATGACATTTCCATGTGCCTAGCCAGACACGATCAATTAAAAAATTGATCAACATGTATGCGATTAACGCATCAATCGAATAATGATCATTGTAGTAAAGGACACAGCATTGAAGTACTAGAAAATTACCTCAATCCATTATTCGACATCTAATCTCTCCAAAGTATTAAATGGTAAAAGTTCAGTATGTATATATATATAGTACTTGTCGTGCTTTGTGTAGCACCAAGCTGCCTCAAATCATGTGATTCCTTGATACAACATCAACATCATCATATTGACATCTCTAATAAGGGATGGCAAGAATCATTGCCATAAACAGCTATAGATAAGTACTGTATACAAACAGTTCGTTAGTCGTTATTGGTTCATTTCCTTATACGAATGTCGGAGAAATATTGCATTTATATATAATATCCGTTTTCTTCTCTTCCACATATCTCTCGTTACAAACCGCGACGTTTAATATACAGAGTTGCTGCATAACTGGATGCTTTAAACGACGCGTATAATGGCGTAAAACATCATGAACCGATATCACACCTTTAGTCAACACATAGCTAGACGACCCGTTTCGCGAGTCAATACGTATTCTCGCTAAGTGACTCTGGTAAGCTAGCTCCACCAGATGGTGACAAGGGTAACTCACCACTCTCGTATTTACTGTAGCGGCTACTATATTCTGCTAGCAAATTAGCTTTTACCTGTCGCATTAAAATGGAAAAAATGTAGTGAGATACCGCACAAATAAGAATATTCATTACATTTAAAATGCAAACCTTGGCTCGCTCTTCTTCCAGCCTTTGCCGTACTTCCTCATGTTGTCTTTCCAATTCCGTTCTCTTCTTGTCGAAAATTTTCGTTAAGCGCGTGCATTCATTCACAGCTTTCTCTACGGTCGATTTTGCAACTTCTCGTTTTATGCGTTCCAGCTCGGCTTTATCTTTATGTACTTTGGCCAATTGTTTGACCTTAAACGTAATAAAAGATATGTAATGTTAACTTTCATTATTTTATATATTTCATCGTGCAGAAAAGAATATATTAGCTAAAAATACCTCGCCCTGTCTTGTAGCCTGCAGTTTTCGTTTAACGTCGGCGGTTTCTCTCTCTAAAAGCACTTGGAGCATTTTCAATTGATTGGACTGCGATGCTTTCATCACTTTTTCGACAGTCGTAAAAAGATTCTCGTAATATTTTTCCTGAAGTTCACGTTCCTGTTGAACGTGCACCTTACATATGGCCAAAAATCGTTCGCTTTGACTTCTAGGCAAACCTCTGGACGCCCCGTCATTTCCCTCGCGATTCTCCGTGTTTTCTGAGTATTCAGAAGACTCAGCTATGGCTAAGGTACTTAAACCCACTTCGCTCGAAAAGCTACTAAAATGAGATTAAAAATTGTAGAATTCGGAATTAACGTCACCTCGTTTATATACTTACATATTTTTGCTCGATAGCCGCTTCACCAACTTATTGCTCATATAGAATTTCGATTTATGCTTCTCGCCGTCGAGCGAGCCTTTTTGCGACTGCATTCGCATTTTTTCTTTCTCATGCTTTTTCCTTAAAGATTCAAGTTTCTTCTCGAGTTCCATCTTCTTCTCTCTGACTAACTTATTTTCCATGAGTTTCTCCAAACTTTCGGCCATTATTTCGTCACTTACTATAAAAGAAAAGAGTTGCCAAAATATATAGTACAAAATGAGAAAAAATGTAAAAATACTTATAATTAAGATAATTTAAGAAAAAGAAAAACACTCACTATTGCTAGCATTGACTGGACTTTTATTTATAGATGTATCAACTGCTTGAACTGCAGGACTTGGGGTGTCGTCTTCTACATCCACTGTATCCGAACTACCTAAGCCACCAATAGATGGTCTACTATGTAAACTGCTGGGAGTAGGTAGAAGACCTGGTAATTCACCCATTGATTGCATTCGTTTAGCCTTTACAACTTCCTCCTGCAAAAATAACATTGTTAGTGACACATTACAGGATAGTTGAATCATATAAAAAACTTACAGCTGGCTTAGCAGAACTAGGAGCATCGCCAACTTTACTCTTATCCTACAAAAAAATGTGATAGTAGTGTATTAGTAGACTTGAAAATAGACGTGTTATTAGTTATTAGAAGAGAGAGAGGAGGGGAAAGGGAATAGTAAATCATTTAGCGCTATTTTAAATCGTACTTCAATTTCTTCCGGAGCCTCCAAGCAATCCGTGAGAACTAACAATTGATTCTCTCTCTTCTCTACTTCGCTCTGATACTTGATAGGATTCGCTAAAGCTTCGGCAAGCTCGCTCAGACCATCAGGAACGTAATCCTTTACGATAACGTGTAAAAACAAACTCGCTAATGGTAGCGGTTGCCCACATTCATTTCTTAGTGCAACGTGTCTATACCCTGGGCATAATCCGACTACGGGTAATACCCTGTGACCGATTAAACGTCCGGAATCTTCATATGCGGCCATCCTTATCGAGGCAAGTTCCGGCAAAACTACCTGAGGAATACAAAAACGACACATTATTATAGAAACGGACTATTTAGCAAAATAGAATATGCAAATAATATTGTTTCACCTTTTTGAATATGAATGGTTCTTCGTCGTATATGGGATTTATACCGTTATTCGGCACGATTTTTGTGCGGAATTTCTTTCTTACAGTATCCGCCGGTAAACCATACATATCCACTTCTACATAAGTGCCTACTCTTTTGTCAGTTAAAAATTGTGCGGATATCACGTGAATGTGAACGGTGCCCGCAATAATACCGTCAACGGTAGATTCGGCGAAGGGATCTAATCGCCGATCTTTTCTTCTCATAAATTCCGGTTTCAATAGATAACCGCAACGTTGATTGTATTCAAATATCCCCAAATTTAATTGCATCGCCAGATCTGTTATCAATCAAATTAATCAAATTGATCAAGTCACTAACGATAAAAGCAAGATAATACATCAAATAATATACTAAATAAAATTTTACGTACCAAGCGTTTGATAATTTAATGCAACTAGCTGACAGCCCGCATTCCAAAATACTTGTGGCATGAAATTGCTAGAATCGAATCGCGTTCCTGCTGGATAAACTCTGGATAATTGATGTTTGTTGTAATTTACAAATTCTAGTGGTCTTTCCTTCAAGAGAGTCGTAGCTTGTTTCTCGTCGAAAGATGACATTTCGTACATACGATTCTTTTCTGTACAAGCGATATACAAATTATGTAAAAATTCATCGTCTTCGCAATATACGAAGAAAACGCATTAAAATTTTTCTCATTAAGATATATCACGTACTTTCAGCCGATTCGAAACTGTTGAAGTGTACAGGCTGCACGTAATTAACTAAAGCAGAAATTTCGGCACCCGCCTCTGTCTCTTTGGCCGCGGTTGGCTTATCTGGCGCAGGTCCTTTGTCACCTATTCTCAATTCCACATTAGACTCATCCTCTTCTGTACTCGTTTCATCTTCATCGTCTAAAAAACAAATGCATTAAATATGCATACCTCTCATGAACATATTTATAGCTTTTTTTTTTTTATTACCAACCTTCATCATCTTGAGCACTATCTTTACTACTCTGTCTTTGTTGCAACATGGGGGGATGAGGAATATCACCATTCCCAATTTGCTGTTCATTTCCAGGCGCAACATCATCAGCCATTTCATTTTGAGGTATTATATCCGGCGGTGGACCGTTTTCTCCTACAGCGGATGGATTCACTGTTCCATTTGTTTCATTCTCGGGAGTACTTTTAGCAGTATATGCAGCAGTATTTAATTGCTTTTTCTGATGTTTTTTATGATGATGGTGATGTTTTTTCTTATTTTTTATTATTATTTTGCGCTTTAGTAACAATGGCGGTGGGAGCTCTTGACCTGGCTCTAACTAAGAACAAAAAAAAGCATTTGTTACAATCATAATTTTCTCTTGCATACAATTACTAAAAATATGTCCATTAAGCGTAATATCTAAAAATACCTTGTGCGATTCGAGTGGTGCATCAAGTAACATTTCCCCGAAAAGTTCTCTACAGTACTGTGCGATTTTGGCTTGTTGCCTTGGATTACAATGATTTTCGAAACTGAGAATGACCGGATATTCAGAAGTTTTAAAAGCGCTCTCAGCAATTGCCTCTATCACATCTCGGGCACATATTTCAGGTACAAATGTATATCTACAAAAAGACATGTTTTTATCTTTAATTATACGTTACTCATATGCTTTTCTATACAGAAGCTTTTGTATACAGAAAATTATTACGATGTTTATTCGTACCCGTGAACGATAACAGGTTCGTCGAACTTGCCATTCCAAAAGTCTAATTCGACGCATCGGCAACCAGATAAAAGACATTGACGGTAAATTTCCACAGAACTCTTTCCAGTGAGTTGATGTCCTAAACAGAGAAAATTTTATTTGTTGCAATCATTCAAATTAAATAATTATAAACTGCATGTTAAAAATAATTATGAGAATATTCATATATACCCGTTAAGTATGTGTTGTGACTAGAATTTATGAAATAATGTGCAAGCGATTGATCCATATCGTCGGACAATTCAAATTTAGAGATAGCAACAATCGGATTATCCTCACTCATGAGATATCTCAAGAATCCATCAAAACTGAGTTGGCCTTTATTTGCATTACACTTGTTAGGTTCATACTGATTTATGATATCCTTTGCCCTTGCTTCATTTGCATACGGATATAGTATCTCATTGAGGCGTGGATCTCTCTGCGTCTTGTTCAAGAAATCCACGAATTGTGCAATGGACATCAATCTGCGTTTGGTATTGCCAATAATCCCTTCAAACACTTTTTCTACATCTGATCTCTGAGTAAGAGACTTGTAAAAGTTGAAGAAATCTTCGAATTGGAATTTTGACAATGGCACAACGTCGCTCTAAGAAACAAAATTATCATAAACGGAGCAAAGCTTCTTTCAAGAATAATATTTATAATAGTGAGAACAAAACTCACTTTGCCAGATGGAAAGCCAGAAATATCGAGTGCTTTCTCAACACGCTTGCGATCTTCTTTGTTCTGCGTAAACATTTTTATTATACTGCAAAGAGATTCAAAAATACAAAGATAACAGTTTTTCTTTTATATAAATAATACTAGAATTACATTACAATATTGTACTTACTTCTTTACTGGTATTTTTTCTGATTTATCAGCAGTAAGTGTCAGTTTGGTGTGCGCTTTGAGTAAAAACATAGTTGTGCTAGTGTTTAGTTGAATCAAATTGTATGCCAGTTGAAAAAGCTGTTCTGTCCAATGTTGTGCTATTTCTGCACGTGTTGTGCAAAAATTAATAAAATTCAAATTGACAAAGTCAGAGCCGTAACAGATTGTTACAGTTTTATCTTCTAAGGAATCTTGAGAACCCATTGTTACAAAAGATTGCAATTTTGGATCCTATAAGAAAAATTTAATTTAATTGTACGTACATCACATTTACATGTTTTCTTATCCACTGACATATAAAATTTAAAAACTATAAATAAATGTAGTCCCCCTATTGTTGAATATCGCAATGAATACAAGTAAAAAGTTTCGTATAATGAGCTAAACATCACAATGCTACATGCAAAAGTATGTCAGTTCATTCAAAGTTCTGTTTATTGATTTATAGGAAAACTGATCTAACAAGGTACGCTATTATTTCAATGAATACGGAACTGCCTTTATCTGCCATTGGTGCGGATAGTAAATGTGATAAAAAAAGCAAACTATGTATGGTATGTAAAGTAGGTAATGTTCTATTTATAAATTAGTCAATAATTATTATGTGATGATGCTCTCTGTGCGTCATTGTTATAATTATGGAAAAACCAAGAGACACTCTTTGATTATTCATCTTTGAGTATTTGTTTCTACTACATTGATGTAAGTAAATAAGCTAATAGCTTATGAATATCTATCTCTCAATAATGATACATAAAATATTTATTAAAAATAACAAATATGAAATTAATACCTTTGGTATTTTTGCATATTTTCCTGTTCGTGTATCTCTTATAATTGCTATGTCCAGCATATCCATTTCATTATTTTGATCCACCCAATGTAAGTAAAAACCATATTTATCCACTTTCAAAGTCACCGGCGTTGCCATTCCAGAATCCTATGGTTACATAGCACATTTGATATTATGAAAGATTTATTTTTATCATATGACTCTCTATGTATATATGTGTGTGTGTGTTTTTTTTTAAGTGCTTTATTAATGTTCTTTCTTTGACAGAAGCAATACATTTAAATAGATGTTTCAGGAAAGACATATGATATTTCATTATCTTGGAAACCTATCATCGTGGACTCATTCGATTTTTTTGTTTTACTAAGCAAAGTAGAGGTAACATTTTTATGCCTAAAGTGACCTTTTACATTTATACTTTTACTAGCGCCCGACATTAAAACCATTAACTAGCCATAACATTAAAAATATACACAAACCTCGTCCCATTTGACAAACTTCTCTCCATCCTGCAGTTGCTGGGATACCTCCACAGCCTTTGTATACATAGTGATGTTTATATTCTTATTACTCGCCTGCATCCTGTCTCTCTTTTCTTGCTATCACAAATCTACACTGTCCAGCACTGACTCTTTCTTATAGACGTAAAGGTAAAGCGACGAGTGACGTGGTGAACGGCGGTAGCGACGTTAAGGAGCACGTTGCGAACGTTGACCACGAGGATGACGATGGCGATGACGGTAACAATGATGATGATAAAGATGAGGACGACGACGACGACGACGACGGCGATGACGACGACGACGACGACGAAGACGACGACGACGACTCCGACGGTGGTGGCGGCGATAGCGATAGCAACCACGACGACGATTTCGACGGCGACTCCGACGGCGACGACACCGACGTCGACGACATAAGCTTCATTGAGACTTCAAGCATTTATAAACAACTGGATCACCGTATCTTAGTCGGCGCTGCTGGTACCAAGGCGACGACTGTCGCCGTCGTCGTCGTCGTCGCAATCTGGATACACCTCGCGGTTATATATATCTTAAGGACGTACACTCGACGTGTCCCCGAGGAGCATGAAGACGAACGTCGAACCCGTTTGTCGATCGAAATTACATTCAACCGGGTCGCGACAGCGCGAAGGTCGCCCGCGAAGACATTTCATTCACCGCCCAGGAGAAGCGCGCCGATTGCCCGGAGCACGAATCGGGTGTCCTTAATCGCGTGCGCGCGCGCACGACTCGCCACGCGAGGAAGACGACGGAAATTGCTCCGATCTCTGCTGCTGGTTTGGTGCCGCGAACACTCGTGCGCGTTCTCGTTCTCAGCCGCTCGCTCGCTCGTCGGTGCTCGTCCAGCTTGGCTGCCCCCTCCGAATCAGTATCAACAGCAGCATCCTCCTGCGACTTCTGTCTGTGCTGTGTCGCGCCGCGCGCCGAAGACAAGCACCGACACCGAGCGCACGCACCGCGCCGTCCGCACCGTCAACACCAGGAGGCGCTCTATGGAGGCGCGCGCCTGCCTCTCGCGCTCGAATTCGTTTCGCGGCTCGTTGATCTCGCACAATTCGTTATCTCTTCTCTGTCGAAGATAATGCAATATCACCTATGATATATACAGATAAAGAAAAAATTAATTTCCCTTATTGTTAGTTTATCACATCCCTATCAATGACATTAATTACATCAGCGCGCAACTTCAGTTGTATATAGATGAGGAAAGGAAATTTCTTTGATCGAACTCTTGACTACAGATGAAACCGCTGATTCATCGACCCTGAATTATGCGATTATAGATTATACACTATAATTTATAGAAACTTCTTTGACTCGGGAAATTCGATAAACTCTGCTTTGAATGACGTAATTTAAATATCGTAATTTGAATCAAAAGATTCTTCGTCTATTCTTGGATTGTATATAATCTTACCTATAAAGCAATTATAGGAAATTTCTTCTAAATATATCGCTCTCGCGAGAAGGAAAATTTTTTCTTTCACTTTTTCTTGTCAGTCTTGTAGTATCTTTTCGATCTTTCGGCTTCGGAAAATACGCGGATATTGTGTTGCGGTATCACTTTTCCGCGTGGAAAGTGACTGCGTCAATCGCTTGAAAAAAAGTATAAATGTCTAGAAAGAAAAGGAGAGAGAGAGAGAGAGAGAGAGAGAGAGAGAGAGACAGATCAAGCGTTAACGAGGGCGCGAACGAGAGCGTCGAGAGTTAACGGCACCAAAGGGTTGCGCAATCCCTTCTCAATATTATCTCACAATATTGCCAGCGCGTTACACACGGCGATTGATTTGCGGTTCTCTCTGTTCCGCAAATTCCGAGAGATTCCGCCGCGTAGACATCGATTTTGCATTAGTTCCGAGTAATTTGCGCGACGACGCAACAGCGACAACGAAAATTAAATGGATTCTCGATAGTCCGGTTCACCGCTCTCCAACGAGGGTGCTGGATTTTTCGGGAAAATACATACGAGATAAAAACCCGCGCGCGCAAACATACACGCGTAACATATGCGTATTATGCATACACACATACACACAACTTGTATAGATTGTGCATTGAATTTGATCTAAAAATAAACACGCGCCCTTCCACGATGAGGGAGGGTAGACTAATCACCGCGCCCATTAAATCGATCCAATCTCATTTGACTGCCGTTAAACTTAAGCCAACTTGACGTCGGCGGCGACGAAGACGACGTCGCGTGTTCTCGTCTATTCTCTCGTCCCTACGATATCGTCTCTTATCTCGCTGGCTCGGGGTTCATTTAAATGAGATAGTCGATAAGAGGAGCCGCGTGATACGAGGCGATCAAGAAATCGGGTCGCGGTTCGTCTCTCCTAAAAAACATTCGTTTTAGACGCGATTGTCGTATTCGGAGTGAGAGGGACTAAAAGAATGAACTTTTTGATGGGTAATGCGGTAAATCCTTCGAAAAAGAGCTTTCATCCACGAAGAGTATCTTTGCAATAGAATCACGCTTCCTCGAAGATACCACATATGAATTGAACAATAAAATGTGTAATATTAAAATATTACAACTATATTGTTATAAACACAATCTTTGTTATAACACAGACTTCTGCTTACGTTTTTACGACTAGAAACTTACAATCATTCATGTAAGTTTTATAGGCAAGCAGTAGTATGATGAATACAATGGTATATTTGATATTTATTTGATATTTATATAGTTCCTATTTACTTCATTAGACTTAGCATAACAATTTAAGGCCTTCAAACCAGAGGAAATATCAAAAGTGTTAGAGAATAGATAAAAATAAAAAATATTTATTTTTAAGTTATCTATTTCTAACTTGAAATAAATAAGAACCATAAATTATAACAGTTATATTCAAAAGCAATATATGTCCAACTAGATATTTAAACAATGATAAAAAAAGAAAAACTGCTAACAAACAATATCCTTATTATTTGAAGAATATGACGTACCGTGCATTAAATATGTATATAATAGAATTAAAATATTCTTATATAGATCACTATACTTAAAAAAAGAGAAAAAAACGAGTATAAAAAGATTTATAATAACACCTTAATCACCTTATAAATCTACTATAGTGTCGTCGTTTCTATTGATGGGATCTCCCTTGAGCAACGCCACAATCATGCTAAAGAACAAACAAAATATAAATCTTTTCCTTCAATCTTCATTCTTTTGCTGCAAATAAAAATTTTTTATATTTATGCAATACCTACCAATAAAGATAAATGAAAAAGAATATGAGGCAATATCCAAGATGAATCATACAATCACGTGTGTATCTTTTCAATTGACTGCGATTGTGAATTTCTGTAGGATCATAAACACCCATATTACCACTGGGAATACCAAAATATTCATAAAACAGCCATATCGTCATTGGTATATTCATTAGTGTTAATATTAATTGTCCATGTATCAACAAAAGAAATACCAAAATCGTATGTGCTATTAATTTTGGCAACACTCCCTGTAACACAAAATTGAGGATAAATAATTTGTATTGCATTTTATGCACATGTAATAAGGTACACTCTAACATATTACCATATTCAATTTTGAACAACATTCTTGCGCATTCAAATAATCACACTCGAGATCCGACAACGTTATAATCTTTACAATTCGGTCAAGGAGAATAATAGCCCATTAATAACAATTGATTGACTGTAAATTATCTGTTTTCGATTATCTCCTAAAAGAAACTTGAAAACGACGCCACTGCATGGTTGCCAATAAGAAAATAACCTTCAATAAAAAAGAAAAAAGAACATTCTTTATTCATATATTAAGCCGATTACTTTGTTCTCAGTTTAATGAAATGTAAAACAGATTTATATTAGATACATTCAATGATATAATAAAGGATACATAATATACGAGGAGAAACAAAACAGAACCCGTGTCGATCAACGCAATTGCGAATAGAAGCGGATCCGAAATTAGGCCCATAACGCTACTATTTCCGCGCGAAAAAAAAACGGCGAATCATATGGGATTTGCAATCACGATGATCGTCGAATATCTCCTTCGCAATTTTCGTCACGCAAATCCCCGTTCGCCGGTTGTATTCCGTCGTAAATTTCTGCAAAACGAAACACTGACCCTCCCCCCAAAAAATACACACTTCACGGTATTACCAATGGCATCACTTCTAAAATTTACATTCCCTACAACATGTAGACTTCTTTCATTTGGACTTCTGCACTTTTGAAAAAATTTAAAAAAAAAAGCGAAAGGTTAATTATATTAAATCGTTGATTAATCGTTAAATCGTTGATCAAAAACTGTCAAACTGCAACGATAAATATAATATTTTCAGAAGCAATGATATTGACAAATTAATTACGAATCAATTCTGATAATTCGCACTTATTTGCACTTTTCGAAAATAGTACGTGAACAGAAAATGATTGGCGACAACGTTAGTGAATTTACGATTACTTAGTTGGCTTGATCTAGAAGCATTACATTGATCCGGTTGTCCAGACTGCAATGTATCCGTTGTTCGAAATCAAACGAACTCTCTATATCCGATAATCCGATGTTACTTGTAACTGTACAATGAAGGAAACTTTATACGCTACGCGTATTCTAAACTTTTTACGACTGTAAATACGATATTGCACGATGAATATGGAACTGTGGGAAAAAATTATCATAGAATGGGTAATTATTTCAAGTATATCATGTGCTTAATAAAAATTAACGCACGATATGTAATCTTCATTACATATGGAATTTTGCTATAAATGTATACACTTCTATTAATGTTTACTAATCGATCACACATAATTTTTCATATCTTTTACTTCCATTTTTGCAACTCTTTAAGCAATATTTAAGTCATTAAATTATAAGCATATTATAATTTTTTTCATTTTTTGTGAGATAGTATCCATTACCTATTTACCTCATATTTACATTGGCCTTGTGTATATTACATATTTATATTTGTGTTATTGATATTTATTAAGATGGTTCACGATTTTTTATCTAGAAATTTGCAGCATTCTTAAAAAAAAAAGTTCTTTACAAATAAATATTTAAATTTTATAGATTGATTGTTTACAAGTACAAAAAGAATCAATAAAAAATACAACAGAACTACATGATGGAGAGTTTTATATCAATTTTCTAAAATTAATGTAAGTATATAATTAGCATATTATAATACATATGTATATAATCTATATGTAATGCATCATTTAATTTACTGTTATAGAAAATGGAAGAAACATGAGAGCTATAATCAAGAGGATATTATCAAATTTTTAGAAGGTAAACACACATGTGTATATATTTTATATTTTTTATATTACTACTTATATAATTTCCTAAATGTATGATTTTAAATTTCTATAATTAAAAAAATTTCATGAATTGAAACATTAACAGCAAACATAGATATAAAACTTTCATTTATTTATAACTTTAGGAAATAACATTTTTTTTTTATATTGTCAATTCTTATAGCTGAATATCCTAGTTTTAAAGTCAACAAAGATGATAACACAGAACATATATATATTGCATCTTTATTACTGGTACATGCATGTCGAATGCTGTCTGCAATACATCATTCTCTGCAATACAATATGTGTGACAACTTGAAGAACGAAACACAAATTAGAGTTAAAGCTTTTCTGGAAAGTGTTCTGCCACTTGGAAGAGACATCACTAAAGAAACTCTAAAAGAAGTTATTATGGAAGTTGAAGATACATCAACAACTGCAAATAATCGTAGAACACCACCCATTCAAAAATTTTCCAGTTCTCCTGTCGCTTGTTCTACACGTAGTAAAAAAATTATGACTGACCGAATTCGGGAACTGAGAGATTTAAAATGTAACTTAGCAGTAGAACGATTTACTAATGCGGATTTACGGGATGACATAATGATTCAGCATGAAAAAATACAGAAGTTACAGAAAAAACTTAAAGAAAGATCAATGGAAGTAAAGGCATTACGAGAAGAAAAAATAAGACCAAGTACCCCTCAGCCTTCTCAGACAAAAGATGATTCACAAGAGAATTATTATAAAAAATATATTACTGATTTGGAAAGTCAATTGAACAAACAACAGGAAGAAATTAATAAATTGGAGATAGACAAAGATGCTATATCGAAAAAGCTATCTTGTGTGCAAAGGACATATATACGTTATAAAGAAGATTTTACAAACTGTGAGCAATCCTTAGAATGTTTATCAAACAAAATGGAAGCAAAGGATAGAGAATTGGTAGAACTTAGAATACATAATGAAGAATTACGCGCACGTATCAAAGAATTGGACAAAAATTTTGGTATAGAACAAAGTTTCGAAGTTGAAGATTTACCATTTTCTACCACAATGTCATTTAATGTTAGTGAAGCTCTAAGTTCTGTGATTGAAATTCAACTCCAGGAAGCTAAAGAAGAATCTGCTATATTGCATGCTCAGCTTGATACATTAAAAGGGAAACTAGATATTCTTACAAAGGATTATAAAACTGCAATGGAATCAAATAGAGATTTACAAAAAAAGGTAGAAACACTGGATCGAGTGCAAGTAGAATTAAATAATGTACAAAAAAAATTAGAAATATCAAATACAGATATTGTAAATTTACAAGCAGAGAAAACGTCTCTTGTTGCACAAAATGAAGATTTGAGAAGCTTACTTTCATCTAGGGAAAAAGAACTGTCTAAAATACAAGAGTCAAATACTGCATTAAATACAGAATTGGTTCATTCAAAAACAGACATGAAGAACTTGAATGAATTGCTTGAAAAAGAAAAGATTAATTCTTCAAATTTAAACACTGCTCTAGTGCAAACAAAATTGCAGATAACAGAACATATTACACATATTCATAAACTTACTAATGAAAGAGACTCGCTTAAATCTTCCATCGAAAGTTGCAATAAAAGTTTAAAAGATATTTTACATTCTAACAACCAATTTATACAAGCTGAAAATGACAATTTAGATAACTTCACACTTAATGATCTTATAAAGTACTTTGACACACTATTACATAATTGCAACACAGCATGCGTTTCATATAAATGTGATATCGAGAAACTAAAATCGACATTAGATGAAAAAAATACAAGCTTATTTAAACAACAATCAACTATTACAATTTTAGAAGAACAAAATAAGCAAAATCTTATAGAACTAGCTAATATTGAAAAAGATAAAAAGCAAAAAGATTTATTGTTAAATGAACAGAAAGAAATTATCCATAAATATTCAAAGGAAGTTGAAGTTTTAAAAGAAATTAGAGATGAAAAACTTGTTTTAGAATTGAATGTACATGAGTTAACAAATAATTTAATCAATCGAGAATTACTATTAAATTCTCTTATAACACAGTTGAAAGACTTCCACAATGTGAAGAAAGATTTAAAATTAATAAAAGAAGAAACTCAACAAAGCTTTACTAAATATCAACAAAATATTGAACTAACATTTAAAAAATTGCAATGTGGTTATCAGAAAATGCATTACAGCTGTAACAAAATACAAGAAGAAAAAAAGGAGTTAGAATATAATCTCAATTGCAATAAAGAGGAGTTATCAAATATTCAAATAATGAATGCAAAATTACAACAAAATTTATTAGAAAGTAAAAAAACAATAAGTAGTTTGAAAGAAAATAATAGAATTCTCTGTAACGAATTAAATGAATCTAAACAAACTGTGCAAAATTTAAAAGAAAAAAGTCGAGCATTAGAAGAACAGTGTAAAACTATGGAAACTGAAGCAAATGACAACTTGGAAAGTCTGAAATCAGAAAATGCTAAAATATCATTCAACTTCAAAGATGCTACTGATAAACTCAGTTTATTACAACAAGAATTAAATGACACAAACATACAAATGGAATTGAAAAAAGCGCAGATTCACGAATTACTTTTAGACGTCACCTCTTTAAAAAAAGAAAAGGAACATTTGATGCATTCACATGAAGAACTACTTGAAGCAAAGGATAAAGAGATAGAAATGAAAGAAGAAACATTACTGATGTCGCAAGCTAAAATGGTAAAACTAACAAACGAAAAAAATACCATGGAAAAGAAGATGAAAGAAATAATTATTAATCTTCAAGAAGTAAGATCTAGCCAGGATGCCGTTTTGGCAACTCAGGAAACAGCTCTGAAAGAAAAGTGTCTACACATAAAAGAACTTCAGGAGCAGTTTGATAACTCTAAGGAAATATTGAACAAAGAACTTGAAGATGCAAAATCGTCATTGCGCGAATACCAAACTAAATTCTTTAATCTAGAAAATCAGATTAACAATCAAAACAAGGTTACAGCAGAATTGCAAGAAACACTAAAAGAAATGAGTGCAGAGCTTGAAACAAAGAGGGAACACTATAAGCAAATAGATGCGAGTCAAGTGGAAATTGTAAAATTGTGTCAAGAATTGGAACATCCGACCAAAAATTTGAATTCTACAATTATGGAAACATGCTCGGATTTTGATTTTCTCGACCAGGACTTACATCATTTACCTCAATATAAGTATATGTATACGGATCATAAAATCATAAATATTTCGAATATTATTAAGATGACCCTCGATGAATTACATAAATCTCAGAAAGTTATTTTGCATTTGTCTTGCACAAATGCTGAATTGAATAAAACATTGGCAGGGCAAAAAATACTTACAGAAAACACTATAAAAGACAAAGAGGAAGTCTGTAGTTTGAAGAATAAAATACGAGAATTGGAAATAATAGGTCAGAAGCGGAATAACTATCTTAAAAGCCTTATAAAAAATAAGGAATCTTTCAAAAATTCTTTGCAAAAAGTGGTTGCCTCTCAGAATGACTTAGATACTGTTTTAACGTCGTCCAAGCAAAAGTGGAATGAAATACTAACAAAGTTTCAACATATTTTTCATATTGAGACCTCTGTTTGTGACGAGTTTAAACAGTTGCAAGCTAAAAAAGCAAGTCTTGAAAATACATTATCGAAATCTCAAATCGTCTATTCAGAAAACATTAAATCTGTATTCGATATTTTATGGAAAAAGTTTTTGTGGACGGAACAACAATTACATGATACTTACTTATGTTCAATACATGAAAAGGAATGTCTCGATGCATTGACAAGTGTGGAAGAGGATCAATTTGCTGACGAAAAAGTGATGATTGATGTAGAGATGGGAAAGCATAAAACATTGCAAACCGATGTAATGAAATCTGATGAAGAAATAGAATCTTTCACAGCTTTGGCCATTTTTTACGAGAATAGTTTAAAATCTGGCAAAATCAAGAATCAAACAGAAATAGAGAAGAAACTACAAAAAATGAATCAATTGACAAACGAAAATAAAGATTTAAAAAATAAAATAGATACTATGCGTTTGAGAATTGTGAAATTAGAAAAGAGTATCGACGATCTTAGAACGGAGCTAAAGCTAAAATCAGCGGAGAAAGCGCCAATGGAAGTTAATTTGGTAGAAATAGAATCTCTGAAGGATGAATTGAAATGTTTAAAAGAACAAAACCAGCAGTTACGTGAAGAAAAGGATATGTCGAGCAAGATTGCAAAGCAAGAATTTGAAAATAGGATAAAAAAAGAATATGATGTTACATACGAACAGAAATTTGAAGATTTGAAGCAGAAAATGGTAAGTAGAATATATCTATATTTGCGAAATTTTTTACATAAATTCTAATACATATTACAGTACTAATGTTAAATCCATTTTAGAAAATAGCCTATAATGAGAAAATGACAAAGTTATATAAGGATAACGAAAAGTTCATACAGGAAAAATTACAGTCTCAAATGGAAATAATGTGTCAGAAACAAGAAGAAAAAGTCAATAAATACAAAGCACATGCTGATGATCTGAACTCGCGACTTTGGAATATGGGAGATAAGCTCGTGATTGAACGGCAACAGAAGGAAGATGCGTTACAACGTTTGAAAGAATTACAAACCAAATACAAGGAAGTTGAAGAAAACCAACCAACAACTACAATTTCGCGAAAGACTTGCAAGTATGCAGTCAAGTTAAAATATTTTTTTAATAAAAAGAAAAATTAAATCGAATAATAACAGTGTCGATTAATTAAAATCTATTGCAGAATAGAGAAGCAAGAGGTATCACCTGAAAATACACAACAAGCAACTATGTCACAAAAAGTGACAACACTAATAACAGAAGAAACATTCGAAAGAAGGCATAGTCTTAGAAGCATGCAAGCAATGGGTAATGTGTTTAAAACGGAGGACGAGGAAGAAATCTTTGATAATGTTTATTTAGGTATAGAGAATTTACATGTTACAGATATGAATACGTTAGTAAAAATCAAGTTTACTTTTCCACAATATCTAAATCAATATTTTTTTTATTCCAGCTGATATAAAGAGAGGCAAATGTTTACCTATTGCGGATGTGGACCGTTTGTCTGTATTACAAATGAGAAATTCTCTCTGCAAACCTCATCTAAAATCATCTTATCCAGCGGAAATCCAATTTCTTCCTTCAACTTTGACTGAAGAAGAGATTAAGGTAAAGTGCTTCTTAATGTTATTATGCTATGTCTTATGTATTTATATGTATCTATATGTTAAATATTTTGGTAATTTCCACTAATGTTATGTATGTTCTCACATGTGTATAGATTTTTTTCTTCTTTATAGACAGGGGGGTCTCCAGTAGAAGATAATTTTAATGATAGTCTTAGCCAAAGCCTTCTTCCAGAACAAAAAACCAGAAAAAAAGATAGATCTCAGGTAAGAATCAAATTGTGTTATTAAAAATCCATTGTTTTATATGGCAATTCCTTGTTCGATGTTTGCAATCATTTTCATGCTCTTCCTAGATATCATATAAAAAACCTGGTCCTCCAACTCCAAGTAAAAATGGGGGAAGATTGTCATTGCAGGTACATGTTTCCACATATATGTGTTGTTATTCTCTATATTGTGTATAATTCAAAAATCCATTAAGACAAAGAAATTTGTCTAAAACTTTTTATAATACTTTAATTATGCAATGTCTCTCTCGTATCACTAAAATTATCATTGAAAGTTTTTTTTAACAATTTGCGACAGGGTAATGAATTAAAAAGTCCAAGTTCACGCATATTGAGAGAGCGGAATATAGATAGAAGAACAATGACCACTCCTCATTCATTAAAGAACATATTTTCTTTAAAACGACAAGATGAAGTGAGTATAAAGAAATATATATCTTTGTATATTAAGTTATTAAATCTACATGTGTTAAACATATTTTTCACAGAATGCATCTAGCACACCCAAACGCAGACTCAGTAATATTTTTCGTAAGTCTCGATTGCCATAGGACTGATTGGAATGATGAATAGATATGCAAAGATATACATAGATGATCATACAAATGTTGTACAAAGAATAACCTTTCTGTCATAATTAGTCCTACAGAGTATGTTAATCTAATTATTATATAGATGTTTTTTATATTATAGATGTATAGAAAAAATAAGGGCTTATTATAATTTTACTTAGTTTACTATAATTTATATTTTTACTGTTATACTATCTATTATAATTTTTTACTCTGCAACCATTCTTATTCTTTCTCGTAATGTTAAATGTCATTCTGTGTTAGGTGATCAACAAAGTTTCAATCTTCTACAAATAACATAATAATTGTAAATAGCACGTGATGCACAAATAATTAACACTAAATTTATTTCAATGTACAAAACGTTACTGCAAACTATATAGGAACAGTCAGATAAAATTATTTTCTGCTTAATCTATATGGGAAAAAACACAAATCTCTCATAATAGGACGAGAATTATCTTTAAGATTTGCCAACTACGAGTCTGTCACTTTTACACTTGTCACTCTTTTACAGTTATGTCAAAAATGCAACTGTAAAAGTGTATTTGGTCTGTTATGTTTCTATAATGCATTCACAAATAAATCTATGCCAATAAATTGTATTTGTTTATTTAAAAAAAATTATTAAATAGTTAAAATAAAGAGAGAAAGAATTTGTGTAAAGCATTCATTTTTATATACATAAAAATGAAATACAAATATTGTATATTATTTGTCTAACATATAATGAGATAAATCCAATCTCTCGTAGAAAACTAAAAAACTTCGCTTATATATAATAATGCTGGTCTATTAGAATAATTTGTCAATACTCTCTCTCTAAAAGCTTTCCTATGCCATATGTTATGAACACGTATCACAATACATGTATGTAAATGCTGATAGTAAAGCTTTTATGGCATTATATGTATGTTATATAAAAATGAAATATATATACTGTATTGTTTGGAACAAAATGTATAATGAGAAATAAAGTCAATTTCACAAAAGAACAAAAAATTTTTCTTGTAGATAATAACATATCAATACTCGCTCTGAAAAATTCATTTGTGTGTGTGTGATATAACATATAATAAAATAAATTTAATCTGACAGAAAAACTAAATTTGGCTTATTTATATGATAATATGCTGATCTATTATAATATAATAATGTATTAATATTTGCTTTTCGAAAGCCATTCATATAATTAAGTATGTCTTTATAATTCTCAAATGACATACCTGAACACATATCACAATCCAGTTGTTTAAATTTAAGAAGTAAAGCTTTTATAGACTATGTTTTCTTACTCAGAATCAGATTCCTGTAATAAATTACTTTACATTAATATATAATTAACATGTAATTTACGATAGTTTAAAATTACAATATTGCACAAATTTACCATATATTGCCCCTCAACATATTTGCCCGAGTTCCTAGAGGTTCTACGCAGCTCTCTGTGCTCTACATGCTCTTGATTTCTTCGTCTATGCAAAGTTATGTTTTACTTATTATATAATTTCACAATAGATAATATATAATAGAACAAATTTTTTATCTTTCCATACTTACGGTCGTGACGACTGTGTTTGTAGTGCTTTAAATCTATTATCAAGATCTTGCAAAGGACTCGTCGTTGTATCTTCTGTAGTTGCAGAAGGAGATGTTTGAATTTGTGCAGTGTCATTATTCTCATAGAAAGTGTTTGTTCTAGGTCCACGTGTTATTACCACTTTATTAACTGGTAATCTGAAATAAAATCATAGCAGAACGCGCTTATTAGATAGCTGCATTTAAATATAATTAATATATTAATATAATTATAATATAATTAATATATTTATATACATTATTGCTATTTTTTATGTATCTAATTTACAAAATAATATTAAGAGAGAATAAATTACTCACTGATTCTTTCGCGAACGCTTTTTTTTTTGCTTGCTGAAATGTGAAAACGTCCATTTTCAGGTGAAAGTACAATAATTGCCATAGAAATTTATCTGATTATTTAGAGACATAAAGGGACAAAAATGTCTTAAAAGATTGTTACATATATATGTATAATAAATTTGCAAGCTGATATTCAAATTTATCTATATATACACATATATCTTTTAAATTATTATATCATTCTCTAGATGAGAGTACAATTCTGAAATCAATATAATAATATCAAGAAAAAATGTAGAGATGAAAATGATACACATATTATTGTGAAGAGTGATGGGTATAGAGAACGGCGTGTCATGGAAAGGAAAATGTCGACATTATTAATTTTAGGAAATATGAAAAATAAATGATTAATTTTCTTGTACTTTATATTATATTGATGATTGATAAAGAGATTTGTCACGCTTCTCTGATAATTGATAATTTTTAATTCTGATAAAGTAGGATTTAGGAGCGCTGGGAGTAGAAGGTCTTATTTGAAGTAATCCCACATATTTATTCACATATCTATCACCAATTTGTATTATTAATATATAAAGAGAATACAAAGTTCTAAGCTTACTTGAGTTTACTCGATAAAATACACACATCGTTCTCTATGCACGATCTTTTTCATATGTTTAAAAAATATGATCCAACATTATATTCCTTAAATATGATCCAATATTATATATCCCTTAATAATTTCTTATTCTAGTTTGAATGTGATTTGTTATTAAAAGAGGCACCAAGTATAATAAATTATAACGAGAATATTTTGTACAATTTTTGCCCCTTACATACACATTTTTAGATATACATTTGATATTTCTCTAAAAATATATTCTTCAATTTTTATAATGATTGAATCACTTGTAACAAGCGATTAAAATTACTACTCATGCAAACATAGCACAGATACAATTTCTGCACTACATTTATTTATATATATAAATGTTTAAAAAATGATATTTATATATTAAGCACAAGAGCATGCAGTTGTACTGCAAGAAGTAAGATCACATATATCTTTTGTATAAGAAATGATGTAGATTATGATATTTAGTCATATGCAATGATGCTTAAATTTTAGTGTTCAAAAACTGCAAAATTACAATAATTATGAAATCATATTTTAATGTATATCATAGTGGTAATTAAGTTTAGCTACATGCTCGACTTGCTGTGTTAGATCCTAGTTGACCTTTCCATAAATTTATTATAACAATACATCGTAATATTAAAATTATATGTAAATATAAAAATTATAAATTATATAAAGTATTAATAAAGCATTAATGAAAAAATGGCAGTAAAATGGAAAAAAATATTAGTATAATAAAACTACTACCACTCTACTTCTACAGATCTACACTTTGCAAGCAACATTAATATCTAATAGCAATAGTAAGAGAAGAAACACATTCATATATGCAGAAACTGTATCTGTTCTTTCAGTTTTACAAATATTACATATTATCTATATAGCATAGCTTACACACATTGCAAAAGCAAGTAAAGATAAGCATTTAGTTTTTAGAATGCAATGATAATCAAACACAATTAAATATCAGTCATTGCTGATTTTTCTTTGTGTTATCGAGTTATATGTAACAGTTACTTGCAATTACAGTTGAATTTGTACTAATGATAAATTTGACAGAATGAAATAATTATATATATCATATTCTATTCGGGTACACCTAACTCACCCTGCAAACTCATGATCAGAACCTTCATCAGGTTCATCAGCTTCCTCTTCCTCTGCAAAAAAAATAAAATCATTTAAATGGTAAACGAAGTCAGATAATCTAAAATTAATATTTTAATCTTATAGCTCTTCAATTACAAATGTAATTGTGCAGTTCCGCAGTTATTGATGATGTTCATGATAGTTTGTTTTCACTTTGACTGTCAAAATTTGAGTTAAAGTTTGAATTTACAACATCTATCAAAATAATTTTAATCTCACAAGAAAAAAAAAATAAGGAAAATTAATATATATACCTAGTTCAAAATTACAATAAATTTGTCAATATTAGTCATTTCCTTATTTAATCTAATTCTGGCAAATAAAATTGCGTCCAAATAACATCTATATATTAAGAATGCTTCTTAAGGTAATCATAAGTCTGTTCTTTATATCTGAGTTGAACTGGCTGCATTAGTTCAGAATTTATCTTTCTCCTTCCAATGTGGAGAAAAGAAGATAAACTCTGAACTAGTGCAATCAGTTCAGCTATAAAGAACATACCAATAATAAGATTATTTCTTACCAGCCAAGTGATCCTTCTTGCGCCTCGTGTAAGCTCGTTTACTTGTCACTGGAACTTGATCAGTTTCGCCATGTAATAAACTATTTCTGTACAATAGTAAAGGCTGCCAATCTTCTCCTCGTGAAGACGGCATTCCAGCTTGTAATCGTCTATCCAGAAAATTGAGTCTGCAATAACACCATAATAAATGTTAAGAAATATTCTAAAAAGTAAACTGCATTCAATAATGAGCACTTACACAACACGTTTATCCTGTTTGAGAAGCTTATTCGTAAATTCTGACAGTATCTCGAGGAATGGTAAATTCGGTGGCGGACCTGTAGGATCCTGCTCGATGCCGTCTGGTGGAGTAATGGCGAATAATACACCCGCACGGTGCAAGGCTGTAATTGCTTCTCGATTTTTCACGGCATCCAAGCCGAAGGACAAAGCAAATCGCTTCGCCAGTTCCTGGAAATAATTACAACATTTCACAGGTTTTAATATATTTCATTGCATTGTACGTAGAATAGTACAATGATAATTACACACCTTGATTGCAGTGAATTCTTCACTATTTCTGTTCACTTTGCCCTTCTCGGCCACTATCTCGTTGTACAAAATATTTAAGCTTTGTTGCATTGTGAGCGCGCAATTCGTTTTGTTGATATCTCTTGCTTTTCCTAATGTGGTTTTAATAATATCGCCATAGTCGTTATAATATTTAACGTAATGCTTAAATACATCGGCTGCGGCTTTCGTAGGGATCATATTATAGACGATTAATTTGCAGTATCCGGCTAAGAAATTTCTTCTTTTATGCAATTCCTCGATTTTAGAATGTTCATCGTGTTCGTCTACGAAAGACTTTCATGCTATTATATAAATCAATAAAAATTCATTTAATGCATATTAGAATATTTACTTACCATCCTCCTCTTCGAAGAAGACGTACTCTTGTATAAATCTATTGAGCATATTCTGCATTGCTTGGTCAGGCTCATACACTAATTGATGCATCAGAGGATTACTATGCGTAGTGAGCTGATTGCAGAATATTACTAATAAGTCACATATAGTATTATATGCGTCTTCCCTCAAGATCGGCGGCGAAGGCTGTTTAATATTAAAACTGTAAGTATTGTTTATCATAAAAGACACTAATCGTATTTTCGAATTATTAAAAAATAATATAATTACCGTATCGCCATTAACGAAATGGCGCATTGAACCCATAAAAGAATGCAATCGTTCCTTCAATTGCCGACATTCGTCCTCACCGTGGCTGCCTGAATCTACAGCTTCCATCAAATGATTTTGACCCCACAAAATGGCAAAGAAGCATGCGCTTATACAATATTTAACTGCAGTTGATGGTAAACATCTGTGCAGACAATTTGATTTATATTATGATACATTTGAATATAATATATACAATTTTATGTAAAATAAAATAGTATAAGTATAAAAAAAGGTACTTTGAAGGATCCTTTGCATCCTCTATATCTTTGTATAATGAGTCCCATATGCCCCATGGATTCATATTGTGACAAGAATAAAATATGGAAACTTTTTTGAGCGATTGGACGACATTAAATATTTCATCTTCATCTGGCTCTTCATCCCCCTCAATCAAATTTCTATATTCATCGATCGCCTCTTTATATTTATTTACAATAGAGTCGATCAAAGTGGAACGAGCGACATCACATCTACAAAAAAATAAATTGTATACTTTTTTAAACAAATAACAGATCTAATTTAAATGAAAGTAATAAAAATATATATACCTGGTGAAAATAGCATGGCCTTCTACACACATATGTTCTAAAGTTTTAGCCGCCGTATCTAAAACTTCGTTATCGTGCATTTTTTCAACAATCACGTGAATTTTAGTTAATAAAGAATCTAAGTTTATCTCCTGTCTAGATTTTGTATAAATATCCAAATCAAAATACTGCGGAATTGCCAGCAGGTTTGCTAATTTCTCAGGGTCTGCCCTGTACTTGTCAAGTAATAGTGGTAATGTTTGAATGAAATGTTCCGTCAGTTTTTGCTTATCATCGTGAACTTGTTTAAGTTCTTTCACCGATAGAATTTTCCGAGTGGGTCCGCGACCGACGGGTGCTTCGCCCGTAGCAGCTTGCTTTATGCAACATACCATCAATTCGATAAGGGATGTTTCCTTTTGATTATCCAACGCTTCCTCGTCGGGACCAGCCTCCTCCAGCAAGAGATCTGTCATACACTCCCAATCCTTCATCATTTGATTAGTTTCGATCAGGGAGTCAACCAAATACGCTCCGTGCTCGTGCAATTCGGATTCGATGAAGAATAGAACAAGATCGCGTATAAGGGGCGTATTCGGCAATCGTTTCTTGCCGCGTCTGGTCTTTACATCCACCACGGCTTCGTCTTCCGGACGGAATAAACGTTCGTTCAGAAATTCTCCGGCTGCCTGCGCAACCGCGCGATGCGATGAATAAACAAGTTCGTACACATGTTCACAGTCTTTATCAGTAAGAATTTCCCTGTGATGCTTTAAGATCGAAATAACCAGTTTCACAGCCTGTACCGCTACATCGTACTCTTTGTCCAACGTCATCGCCACGATTCTATCCTTAAATTTGCTTGTGAACAGCTCGAGCTTCGTTTTCAACTCCTCCGAAGCGTATAGCGGTTGCAATGCCTGCAAGCATTTGAGTCTAACTTCTCCGACTTTATCATGCAAAGTCCAACCTAAAAAATTATATCAAACATGAAAATGTATATATATATAATTATTTTTGTTTAATATATGTAAAAATTCTTTGTTTAATAAAAATTCTTTGTACCGATATATTTCAAATATGAATCATCTAAAAAGTTTTGATGAAACTTCTTCATCCAGACTCCGATTTCCGCCATACAAATCGCGCGTATTTCCGGCAAAGTATCCCTATATCTATGAACAAAAACAGACTTGAACATATATGTTAACATATTTTTTATTTCGTCCATATTCTCTTCTAACTCCTTTCGCTTTGCCATTAAGGATTCTAATCTATCTGCTGCTCTTTTCTCTCGAGCCTTCTGTCTTTCCGCTTCGTATTGACGCTGTGTATTGTCCAAATTTATAGATACAGTCAAGGCAACGTCTACTAGAGCTGTCATTAATTTCATGGCTACAAATAAAATTGTTCTATTAATATGCATCCTGCTCACAAAATATAATTTGTAAGTATATGGTCTCTTGTTAAAATTTACCTGCAAGAGTTGCGGTATGCCTAAACGCTCTCACTTGGGAATCCGAGAGTCCAGTTAGTAAAGAGATAACATTATCCATCAAAAACTGATCATAGATAATAGAATACTGACATTGACGAACGAGAATTTGAACGAATTCACAGAAATTTGCACGAAACTTCTTCCACTGTTGTCCAGTCATTATCAATGGATATTCACCACTTTCCTGCAAAAAAAGATAAAATTATGTAATCAAAATATTATACATATTATATATTATAATGATTTAGCAAACATACTTCATCAAATTCTTCAGTCATTTTGCGAATAATTGCCACATGTTCCATAGTCAGTTGCATTTCAGAAGTGATACGACCTTTGCAACCACTTGCATTGATGAAAAATTGCATAAGCATAAGCAGTGCATTTTCTCTGTTACCCTTATATTTTTCTATCCAGTCATCAACAATAGTCTGTCACAAATAATATTTATGTATTATAAAAAGTTTCTATACACGAACATTCTCTTGTAGTTGTGATTTTGTATTAATCATAATTAATTCTCACTTACAGTGAGTGACGAACGATTATTCCTAATAACATAGTAAAGACTAGCTTCATCTTCCAGACTATGTGAATGATGCGCCCTTTTGCCACGTCCTCGTCCCCCGCCACCTCTACCTCTGCTGCTAGATGTTGGAGCATAATCCGTATCAATCTCTTTGTACTTGGGCTGCTGCACCACACCTCCTTTAAAGTCAAACATTGCAATCTTTCATATCATTCGCCATAATATTTTCCACGTGTCTTCTATAAACAAAATGTATATTTGTATATACCACGCATCCTGGCACGTGTGTTCCTCGTGATCCTCATGTTAGAAGCGGCAGGTGTCATAGGAGCCTCAAATTGTGTCTGATTGTCAAAATTGCCTTGCTCCTGATATTGTTGTTGAGATGTGCCCGGTGAACTGTAACTCTCAGAAGAGTAATGTTCTGGACTACAAATATACGATAGTATATTACAATCACGCTTAACATTCAATGAGATTATATCGTTTTTATAAAGATGACTCTAAAACTAGATACTTACGTGGGATTGTGTAGTGGAGTCTGAGACGCCTGATACGGTGTGTAAGCATTGTAAGAGTCGTTTGCATCTCCGCCGGAATTATCATTCATCGGAGTCATAGGTGTCATCGGTGTCTCGTACTCCGGTGGCACCGGATCGTCCATCCGGATTCGCTTACCACCCCTTCTATGCATCATCTCGGTGTTTTCTACGTTTTAATGTGCCCAATAACAAAATTCATATCTGAAGAAAAAACGCGCGGTCGACCGCGATAAATCCATGAAGCAGCGTATGAACTGGGTTTATCGAGATTTCTTTACTAAGAATGTTAGAAATCCCAAGTATATATACTGTTCTGACAATTCCTTAATAAGACAGTTTCTTGTAAGAAAGATATTCCTCGATAGTCCTGCTTGATAAAATTGAAATATACAAGATTGTCAAACTTGAATTGTATCCATTTTTTGCGTTCTTCTGCGTTCCTCGCTAGTTACACTAGTTAACGACTTTCAGGAGCGCCAACATAAAGACTTACAAAGCGGCAAAGAGATAGGGATATTCTGGGGCTGTTCAATCATCGGCCCTAATAGGCGATTTCATTGGCTACTCGATAGTGAATTTTTATGTTTAATGAAAACGCACCGTTTCATGAGATGGCGCCATTTTTTCACAGTTGCAATTTGAATTCTTCTCTTTCGTTTTAAGTAGTATTGTAAAATTTTGTGTGCGCTATACAACGGAGAAATGTTCCCGCATTTATTAATTAGCATCTAAGAGCAATCAAAGGTAATTGAATTGTAATGTCTCTACATGCTAAAGAAACCAATTCTTTATAAAATCTGTATATTATATATATTTTTTAAGGATCGATTCTTAATTTTCAGAATCTAGCCAATTTCCTGAATTTTCAGAAGCTTCTTTTCGAGGTGACGGGTATCTAATAAATATGGCGAGTGCGACTAAACGAAGCTTTTTTGAACTTTGGGGCGGTGAGTCTATGCATTAACAATAAAATAATGCCATTCTTTATTCTTTATTATTCATATATATATATATTTTCGTTGTTATAATGAGTCGTAAGATTATACAATGATCTTCTACAAGTTAGTTTTGATAAGAAATAAGAGGCGAGGATTCAAGAAAACCGTTACTCTATTTATTTAGACGCTGACTTTTTTTGATAAAAATGATATTTTCTTATCTTTGAAAATTTCACATTATGCATTTTGTATTTTCAATATTTTCTATTTCTGTGAAATTATTTCAATTTTAAATCGATTTCTTTTGCATTCATTTATTAAAATTGATATTAAAAGATTCATTTATATATGTGTATATATATACACACATAACACACCCACACATATATTTTATGTCTTGAATCAATAGATAAATTATGAATAATTTTTTATAATAATAATTCGTAAATTGTAATATAAGTTAATTAATATATAAACCGTAATTAATATAATTGATAAATTGTAATAATAAAAGTATTTATATAACAATAATCGTAACAATAAGTAACTTAAGCACTTGAGAAATCATGAAATAAAAAGTCGGCGTCTTCATCCTTGAAATAGAGTGAACGATAATTCTGAATCCAACCGGTCGGTTAATTTGCGATGCGGAGTATGAAATGTACAAAGCAGACGAATATGTCTCTTTTTCCTTTTTTTCTTTTTTCTCCCATACTTATTTAATTGCCTACCATTTTTAACTCTACGGTTTACGCTTTGCATTATTTTCTTTCTTCTCGCGATTTATTTGCGTGTTTACGAAATCGTCGTCGTCGTCAGCGAATGCCGCGAAATCGCCGTGACTCTTAATTAAGGCGGTTGTTTCATTAAGTACTACGATAAGTTTTTTGGCACTTATAGATTTACGATTGCACTAATTGCGAATGGTACCGGCTGCGTTGCAAGAGAAAACGTCCTTTTTCTACACTATATATACTTGTGATATATCAAATCTTCGCTGTGTAGAGCAGCGAGAATTACAACACTCGTCTTTTTTTCTCCTTGCTGCATTACAGGTTTTTTGGGGACGGCATTGCGATTAATCTATTAATTGCTTGCGCTTAATGCGTGGCTAATAAAAGGCATTTTTCCCCGCTTTTTATTAACGATATTATTGTTCGAGGAATGATTTTGTCGAAAATCTCGCTATATATAAAATTTCGCTGTACCATTTGCACATATGTACTTTACTATAAGAAACTGAAAGTTTTTTTTATCGCTGTATTGCAAGATAATTAATATTAAATATGTTTTCAATGTATACATGTATAAAAAATGGCAGTGTTTTTTTAATAATTAGGAAAAATTGTCATTTTTTGTAAGAGAATTTCTTTAATTGTGAGTCGCGTGTAACTATTGTATATGAAATATTGCTTTGACAAATCGCTTTAGCGGGAGTAAAGCGATGCAAAACGACTAAACGCGTATCCATTGAATCAATGCGTATATTTCAAAATTTGAAAAGAATTAATCAAATATATGTATGCTCTAGTTTCAAAAATCCAAATAAATCTTGCATTATCTTTGCGATCTTTAAATAAGTTACAAAACACGAAATGGATGATAACCGCTTGTCTCAACAATAAAAAAGATCTGCGTTTTTAATCATTATGCTTTTAGCACATTTTTAAGTACAGAACGTGAAAATAAAACGAAATGCGTTTTATATTTTTTTCACATTATTTAGCTATACAAATTACATATGAATTTAATTTTAAAAATTCAACATTTATAAAATTCTTTAATTTAATATATCCAATAGTGGACACAATTTATTTAGAGATAACATTTTTAAGAGAATCTTTATATTAAGACAAGCAAGGTTAAAAACTTGGGTTTTGGCCTGATGTGATCTTTCTTATAACAGTATTTGCTTTAATAATACAAATTGGATTGGCACAGCGATTGTTTGAAAACACGGACGTTCGATAAAAAACAGGAAAGAGATATATATAAATGACAGATTACTGGTAACTGTTACGCGTGTACCGTGTATAACATTCTTACGTAAATTGTGTATAACCTTTTTATTAAAAGAAAATGACTCCCTATCTTGATGTAGCAAGGCGCGTTAGCGACGTTTATTCTTCGATATTATTTGCCTCGAGGCACGTTGTTTTTTATGGATGGAATATGCCAGAGTGTGGTGTAAGGATCGACAGTTCCTTGTCTTCATTTATGACATTAATAATCAACGAGAACAAAATTTCAAACGAGACCGAAATCTGTGTGAATAGTGACGTCGCAATTGTTAGGCTTATCGGCGGCCGCCATGTTCACCTCCACCAGAGTATCCACGCTGTTGATCGGGCAACCTTTGAGGATTTTCTGCGCCGCCAGGCTGGTGAACTGAACTTGCATATCACTAAGACTGGGATAAGAATGCAAATCCGAGCCTCGACTCACGGTCTTCTCCAGATTAGGCTCGGAACCCTGCGGAGCCCGTTGCTGTTTCACTGTCTCCAGATTTTCGATGTAGACGTCGTTGAAAGAGCCACCGAAACCGTCGTACGATTTCGTAGGCGATGGTGGATTTGAGGCAATGTTGTTCTTCGAACCGGGACGCAGCAAGTTACGATAGCTCAGCGCGTCCTTCGACAACGACAGGCTGAGTTTGCGCGAATTGTTCATTGCGTCGTTAGTATTCTTCGTGGAGGATAAGGCGGCGGCTTCGTGTACTAAAGAATTCTTGTCAATGTTGTTGGTAGAACCATCGATCAAATGAGCCTGACTATTGTTCAGACGGTTCGTCAATTTCAACTTGTTAGGCACTTCCTCCTCGACCTTCGGCTTATTTTCCTTGTCAGATTCCGATAGCAGAAGACTCGTTTTAAGTTCCTTTGATGCATAAAGTGACGATGGACGTTCGACTTTGACCGAGCATTTGTTCAGCTTTTCGTCATCTAACTTTGATTTGAAGAACTTCTCCTCATCCACCCGAGTCTTGTAGGCCTTCTCGGCCACCAGCTCTCTCTCCTGCTTTTCCTTGCAATCGATTATTTCCTTCTCGGCAATCTTCGTCTTTACCGTGCCATCCTCGAAGGTGATCACGGACCTCATCGGCGAGTTGTTTTGTTGAACGTAGATCTTCGTGCCAGGCGAGCCGGAAATGGTCGTCGTGCTGGTTGTGTTAGAAGCTAGCGTCACGCTATTCTGTATCGTTCGTTGCTCTTGCGACGACGGGCTCAGATTAGTGGACACCTGAAGAGTTATCGAGTTCTGTGCCTCTTGCAGAGGAGTCAGCGAACCTTGCTGAACGACTTTGAGCGGTGACGATTTCGTCGACAGCGTGGCCGTTTTCAATGGCGAGCAAGTCAGCTTTGTGCTAGACACTGACTTGCCACTAGAGTGAGACGAGTGACCCGACGAAGTTTTTTGTAATACCTTGAAACAATAAAACTTTCATTATTCAGAGATAATAGAAAATTAAAAATTAAAAAATTTAAATTACAAAGATTAATCATCTAACCGCTACCTAAAAAAAAATTTTTTTTACTGTAATAATATGACAAATTTAAGATTTTCAACACATTTCTTAAACAAGCAATATAGAAACATTTATAAATTTTTTTTTTTTTCAAAGAGAAATATACATATATGCAAAGATATTGTTATAAATATTTATAATGGAGTTAACTTAAATTTACCTTATGTTGTGGAGAGCCGTTAGCCGATTTAGTGCCGTTGCTAAAGTCGTGACTCGGTCTTCTAGAGTTAGACTGCCTGGTGTTGGGCCTACCCAACGTGGTCGTCTTAGCCGGACTCGCAGTCATCGTCCTAACCGAACCCGAGCTGCCGCCGCTTCTGCTGGGCGACGAGTTGGTTGAATTTTTATCGTTCTGCGCCTGATTACGGGCTTGATAGGCCTCCTGATTAGTAGTGCTAGGCGGTAAAACGGATGCTCTAGACGTGCATCTGCTCAAGCTGGAACACTTGGATCTCGGTAGAGTAGAACACGGTGACCGATGCCTTCGAGAGCTCCTTGGCGTCGAGTTGGCCAACAAGCTCGAGGAATCACCGCTGGCTTGACGCCGATGTCGCCTCGGCAGAGTGGCTGATCGCACCGAGCTCGAGTCGTCCCATACTTGAAAACTGGCCTGCGACTGGTTGAGACCCTCCATCATCTGAAAACAGATTTATTCGATCGATTTAATTTCTTTAAAAAATTCTTGGAAACTATTCGCTTCTAATTCAATTCTGGCAATTATTCGCTTCTAATTCATCAGTTCCAATTGAATTATTTAAACTGTTTGCTGTCTTCAATATTATCAAGTTTTTAAGTTCGTTGTTATTAATAGCTTAGAATATGTTGTCGCCTCAAGATTTTTCATTAACTGTCTGGGGGAACCGGTTAATTAGCCTTGCGGTGTTAGAGAAGTACTATGTAAGAAGTTTTATTTAACTATTTCTTGTCAGGGAATATACTTGTATGCGACTTACCGAAGGGCTGGCGGCCCTTGTCTGCGTGGCAACGCTGTGCAAATGCACAACGCGCGGATTAAACCACTCGGTGGGGGGATACTGAGCACTGAAAGTGCCCATTAACGGTGTGCCCTTCCTCCGTGTGCTCCGCCGAAAGAGCCTGGAGAGCAGGCCTATCTTCTCTGAAAAAATCCCAGAAAAGCCTTGAGGAAAGGATTTGGATTTGTTGCGCTTCGTTAGAAGATAATGAGGATCAAGGAAGGGCTTGCCAGCTACAGGGTGACTAAAAAGCTTTGATTTCGGATTGAGTTATTATACGATGTATGTACATGTACATGAAATACTTCACAACATTCACAAAATACCTGTTTGTAATAATTTCACTATATCGGGATGATTATTAGTCGCAAAAAATTTAATAAAAAATCGTCCACGACATAATGCAACGAATAAATGTCTAGCTTGCAAATCGATTTAACAGCATACTGCTCGAATTTTTATATACATATATACAAAGCCCCCTCGCAAAGTTCTGTCTTCGAAAAAAAAAGAGTTTTACATACGATTAAAAAAGCATTTTTAAACCGATTCGCTTATAATTTAAAGCGGTCACCCATCACCACGCAATCCCTTCCCCGATCAAACTTACTAGTTGGACTGTGAGGCGCACTGTCCGTGCTGGCGTATTCCGCGCTGGAAGACGTATCGCTCCTTTCGGGTCTTCGCGGCAGGGACCGCGAACTTCCGCTTCTGTGCAAACGTCTGGCCGAGCCCCAGAGCCGTAACGAGTGTCGCCTCTCGAGACGACCGGGCATCGACCGACACCTGGCGAACAGGACCTTGTCGTTGGGATTTCCTGAAATGGAGATAATCAAAATTATTTCTAATACACATGCAAAAAAAAACGTTATCATATTACATATCATTATATGTACATATAATAATATTATTTTAATTTAGAGGAAAGAAACCGATAAATAATTTGAGAAGAATGCTGACAATGTTTTTTATATTTCTCAAATTTGATTGTCTTCATCTTCTAGGCGTTATAATATTTAAATAAAATACGAATATATATTCGTGAAAGTACGTCAGAAAAACGCAGCATTAGACAGGTGGACAGGGGAGAGTAAATTCCACGCGTGAGATGCAAATATCAGAACGGCGAGACGACGCATCGCTTCGGCTAAAAGGGTTAATATGATGACCGAGGTACGCTCGCGGCTGCTGCACAACTACGTTCTCAAAAAAGAATAAAAAAAGAAGAAACAAAAAAGTGGAATACCCTCATTCCTGAGAGTTTCATCTCGGTACATAGCCACGGGCGATACGCCGACGTACCGACCGACGACGAGTGGGTTACCAGCGTGAGAATCAGCCGAGAAACGAGTAAGAGAAAAGTAGGAAGATTATATACGTGTGGTCCCCTCTGCCTCTCCTCCAACCCCCCCC